GAGACAGAGTCTTGCTTTGTCACCCAGGCTGGAGTGCAGTGGTGTGATCTCGGTTCACTGCACCCTCTGCCTCCTGGGTTCAAGTGATTCTCCTGCCTTAGCTTCCCGAAGAGCTGAGACTACAGGCCACCACACCTGGTTAATTTTTGTGTTTTTAGTAGAGATGGGGTTTCTCCATGTTGGCCAGGCTGGTCTTGAACTCCTGACCTCAGGTGATCCACCTGCCTTGGCCTCCCAAAGTGCTGGGATTACAGGTGTGAGCTGCTGCACCCCGCTGATCTCATTGGATCTTTATAGCAATTTGATGAATTGGGTGTTCTCCTTATCCCCAGGTGACAGGCAAACTGAGGCCCAGAAGAAGGTTGGTAATATGCTGATGAGTTAAGAGACAGCATCAGGGTCCATGTGGGTGAGGGTCTGACACCAGGCAGATGAGGGCTTGTCAGCGACAGTGAGACAGTGAGTTGAGTACCTGAGCCAGGCCAGAACTGGACCTGATGGTATGAGGAGCCTCTTCCCCTCTAACTCCGGGAGGAAGGAGTTTGGGGAGGGCAGGGGCTGGAGGAAGATGGTCTTGGCCCCATTTGAGGCAGACAACAGTGTTTCCCTCTTGAGGTGACAAGTTTCCCTGCTGCGAGTCCCTGGGCCACAGAGCACTAAGGCTGGCCACCTGCCGGGTGGGAAGGCCCCAAATGGCTTCTCCTTCCTGCCTCCACCCCTCCCACCAGAATGACCTCACCTGTAGAGAGGGTGGCCCCAGGGCCCTGCCAGCTCTGTCCCTGCCAGCCAGGAAGGTCCTGGGGTCCCTCCCCAGCCTGCTCCAAGCAGAGAGAGCACACCCAAGAGGCAGGTAAACGCTCCTATTTTCTTCATCCTCCGCAGCCCAAAGCTCTGGACGCTGGAAGGGAGGCAGGGCCAGGAGGTAGTTTCATCTTTCCTGGAACTTCGTTAAAGGGCCTTGGGCAGTGAAGGGAGCCATAGCCATTTCCTGTGTGCTTATAGCATGCCAGATGTCTGGCCACGCGCTGCCCACGGGATCAGATTGAACTCCTCAGCAGCCCCGCCTGGTAGCGCTGGCTGGCCTCCCATTTCACAGATGGAGCTGTAGAGGCCTCCCCAAACGTCACTCAGCTAGGAGGTAGCCAAGTTCAAATCGTGGTGCATCCGTCCCTGTCCAGGGCTTGTTTCTCACCTGCCTTGCCCCCTTCTGACTCGGATGGCTCTTGAGTTTGGCATCAAAGGGCAGAACCTGGGTCCTAGGGGAGGGAGGTATAGGGAGGTGTGAAGGACGGGTGTCATGGCACTGCCCGGCCTCCTCAGGGCTGCTCAGGCCAGCCTTCCCCTTGCAGGTTCTGTTGCCCTATCTGGGACCTTGGGCAGGGGGCGTAACCTCTGCAGGTGACGCTTGGGTCTCCCTGTGGGAAGAACTGGCAAGATGCTGTGTACTGATTTAAGAAGCAAATGAAGGCTGGGCGCCGTGGCTCACGCCTGTAATCTCAGCTCTTTGGGAGGCCAAGGTGGGCGGATCACTTGAGATCAGGAGTTTGAGACCAGCCCAGCCAACATGGTAAAACCTGTCTTCACTAAAAACACAAATTTAGCCACATGTGGTGGCAGGTGGCTGTAATTCCAGCTACTCAGGAGGCTAAGGCAGGAGAATTGCTTGAACCCAAGGGGTGGAGTTTGCAGTGAGCTGAGATCACACCACTGCACTCCAGCACTCCACAGTGAAACTCCGTCTGAGAAAAAAAAAAAAAAAAAGCAAACGAGCCCCGTGCCTGGCATGCTGAATAGCGCTGGGGGCTGAAGAATGTATCTGGGGGTCAGAGAGATCCAGGTTCAATCCCTGCCTCACCGGTTACTTGAGGCTTTCAGCAGGCTACCCCTCAGCTTCGCTGAACTTGGCTGTAAAACGGGCATGATGGCACCTCCCTCACACAGCTGCTGGGAGGTGACCTCAGTGGAGGGGTCTGGGGGCTCCTGGTCAACCAGCAGCCATTGTTTTCTACCTCCTCTTTCCTTTGAGGGTCACCCTGCAGCTAGAGGGCCACCTGGGCACATCATGGCCCACAGGTGCTGTTAGTGCAGAAGAGGCTCCGGTCCAGCTGCCTGCCAGGATGTAATACTGGCCAAAGTCACTGCCGACTGCAGGCAGGGCTCTCAGACCCCAGTACCTCCAGGGGCCAGGCAGGGGGGCCACAAAAGCATGGAGCTGAAGCCTTTCCTCTTGACCACTCGTGCCTCTGTCCCACCGACCCTCAAATGCTTCAGGCCTGGGGATGGGGCTCATGAGTACAAGGGCCCCGAAGCCACTGCCCATTCACTGCTGCAATGCGGCTGAGCCAGAGGGAGGCCATGCCCAGCCCAGAGGGACACGCCCTTTAGCCACGCCCGCCCTGTTCTTTCATTTTGTTTTGTTTGCCTCTGAGACACGGTGTCGTGCTGTCACTGAGGCTGGAGTGCAGTGGTGCAATCTCAGCTCACTGCAACCTCCGCCTCCCCGGTAGCTGGGATTACAGGCATGCACCACCATGCCCGTTTATTTTTATTTTTATTTTTTTGAGACAGTGTTACCCTCAGCCTCCCAAGTAGCTGGTATTACAAGCACATGCCACCATGCCCAGCTGATTTTTTTTTTTTTTTTTTTGAGATGGAATTTTGCTCTTGTTGCTCAGGCTGGAATGCAGTGGCACCATCTCAACTCGCTGCAGCCTCTGCTTCCCAGGTTCAAGCAATTCTCCTGCCTCAGCCTCCCGAGTAGCTGGGATTACAGGCGCCTGCCACCACACCTGGCTAATTTTTGTATTTTTAGTAGAGTTGGGGTTTTGCTATGTTATCCAGGCTGGTCTCAAACTCCTGACCTCAGGTGATCTACCCACCTCGGCCTCCCAAAGTGCTGGCATCACAGGCCACCGTGCCCGGCTTGATTTTTGTATTTTTAGTAGAGATGGGGTTACCATGTTGGTCAGGCTGATCTTGAATGCCTGATTTCAGGTGATCCAACCACCTCAGTCTCCCACAGTGCTAGAATTATAAGCGTGAGCCACCGTGCCTGGCCAAGGCCGGCCCTGTACCGAAGTCAGCCACAGCTGCCAGGTTCTTAGTGTGGTCTGGGCGGGCTCCCAGCCCTGTTGTCCCTGGCCACGGAAGGGCACTGTCCCACTGATGAGCTTACATCTGGTGTCAAGACCCATAACTGCCCGCAGGCAGAGGGCCCCGAAAGCCACTGTGGCCCCATGAAGCTCACAGGGCCTTTTGGACTCAAACACCTTCCCACTGGGAATGCTGGTCAGCTGAGAATCCCAAGTCCAGATGGCAGGCACGCAGGGAACCGGCACAGGCTCCTCAGAGGCCGCTCTCCCCTTGACTCTGCTCTCCAGCAATCAATTGATGAGTTAGGAGCGCAGAATACCCAGGGTTCAACCGCAGCCCTACCGCTTCCCTGCTCTGTGGCTGGGGCAAGCACCTTAACCTCTTTGAGCCTCTGCTCCCTGCCTAGCAGGCAGAACCCAACCCTAGATATGCTTGTTGGAAAGTTGACAATGATATAGGCCGGGCACGGTGGCTCACACCTAGAATCTCAGCACTTTTTGGGAGGCTAAGGCAGGAGGATTGCTTGAGCCCAGGAGTGCGAGACCAGCCTGGGCATGATAGTGAGACTCCTGTCTCTGAAAAAAAAAAATTGTGTGTCTGTGTGTGTGTGTATGTGTGTGTGTGTTTGTATTGGCAGAGTCTTGCCATGTGGCCCAAGCTGGAGTGCAGTGGCATAATCTTGGCTCACTGCACTCTCTGCCTCCTAGATTCAAGAGATTCTCCTGCCTAAGCCTCCCTAGTAGCTGGGATTACAGGCATGCACTATCACGCCCAGCTGACCTTTGTGTTTTTAGTGGAGACGGGGTTTCACCATGTTGGCCAGACTGATCTTGAGCTCCTGACCTCAATGATCCTCCCACCTCCGCCTCCCAAACTTTGGCTTGGCTTTTGGCCGGAATTACAGGTGTGAGCCACCGCACCCAGCCTCATCTCATTGGATCTTTATAGCAATTTGGTGAATTGGGTATTCTCCTTATTCCCAGGTGACAGATAGGCAAACTGAGGCCCAGAAGAGGTTAGTAATATGTCATGAGTTAAGAGACAGTGGTAGGGTTCATGTGGGTGAGGGTCTGACACAAGGCAGATGAAGGCTTTTCGGCCACAGTGACTTGAGTTTTAAAAGGTGAAGTAAGGCCGGGCCCAGTGGCTCACGCCTGTAATCCCAGCACTTCGGGAGGCCCCGGTGGGCAGATCACCTGAGGTCAGGAATTCGAGACCAGCCTGACCAACATGGAGAAAGCCCGTTTCTAGTAAAAATACAAAATTAGCCGGGTGTGGTGTCGGGTGCCTGTAATCCCAGCTACTAGGGAGGCTGAGGCAGGAGGCAGAGGTTGCAGTGAGTGAAGATTGCACCATTGCACTCCGCCTGGGCAATAAGAATGAAACTCCTCCAAAAAAAATATGAGGTAACGAAGGGAAAGTGTCCAGCCCTGGGCCTGGCTTATAAGGAGCCTTCAGGAAGTGCCCACTTGGGTTCCTCAGCTAAGGAGATGGAGGGAAGGGAGGGGGCAGCCCCTGGCATCTGAGAGTGACCCAGTGAGAACCGTACCATTTATCTCTGGGTGAGGGTACAGAGCCACCACATGGCCCTGAGTTCCTCTGCAGGGTGAGGAAATGGATGTGGGGGTCCCTGGGTACCAGGGACTGGAAGGTGGGCATCATGGCTTGGAGTGAGTGGGGGTGCGGATTGGGGCTCCAGCCCTGGTCTACAGCTGGTACCCCTGCAGTGACAGGTTGGATATTTCTGGCCACCAGCCTGGGGATTTAATTAAGTTAGTGATGAACCCAAGCACATCTCCAGGGAGCCCAGTGCTGTCTCTGCTTTCTCTGCCTGTAGATTAATTCCTGTTTTTCCTTCTTTTGTTTTGTTTTGTTTTTTTTCTCTCCCCCCTCCCTTTCTTTCCAAGGAATAAAAAAAAAAAGCCTTATTTATTATCATTTTCCCCACCGTTGGCATGGCAACGCAGGCGTATACTGAGCTCCAGGCAGCCCCGCCACCATCCCAGCCGCCACAGGCCCCTCCGCAAGCCCAGCCCCAGCCACCACCACCACCCCCAGCGGCGCCCCAGCCCCCTCAGCCGCCCACCACTGCTGCCACCCCTCAGCCCCAGTATGTCACTGAGCTGCAGAGCCCCCAGCCCCAGGCACAGCCACCGGGCAGCCAGAAGCAGTATGTGACGGAGCTCCCAGCTGTACCCGCACCCTCGCAGCCGGCCGGTGTGCCCACCCCGTCGCCCGCGCCCCAGCAGTACATCGTGGTCACTGTCTCCGGTAAGTGCCGAGCACTTGTGTGTCCAAAAACTCCTCTCAGAGTTGTTCAGCTAGCCCAGCCCCCTGGGTGTGAAGGCACAGGGCTGCCTTGCCCCCCAGGGTTTCTGGGTGGGACATTGGGCATCACTAGGGCAGGGGTACTCAAACGCCATGCAAGGAGGCCTCTGGCCTCCCAAACTCCTTCCCACCAGAGCAGCTTTTAGAGTTTCTGTTTTGTTTTTGTTTTGTTTTTTGAGACAGGGTCTTACTCCATTGCCCAGGCTGGAGTGCAGTGGCTCCATCACAGCTAACTGCAGCCTCCACCTTCCAGGCTCAAGCAATCCTCTCACCTCAGCCTCCCAAGTAGCTGAAATCACAAGTGCCCACCACCATGCCTGGATAAGTTTTTAAATTTTTTGTGGTGATGGGGTCTTCCCATGTTGCCCAGGCGGGTCTCAAACTCCTGGCCTCAAATGATCCTCCCACCTCTGTCTCCCGAGTTGTTGGGAGTATAGGCATGCAGCCAACCCAGCTAATTGTTTTTTTTTTTTAAGTAGAGTTTCGCTCTTGTTGCCCAGGCTGGAGTGCAATGGCACCATCTCGGCTCACCACAACCTCCACCTCCCAGCTTCAAGCGATTCTTCTGCCTCATCCTCCTGAGTAGCTGGGATTACAGGCATGTACCACCATGCCCGGCTAATTTTGTATTTTTAATGGAGACGGGGTTTCTCCATGTTTGGTCAGGTTGGTCTTGAACTCCTGATCTCAGGTGATCCGCACACCTTAGCCTCCCAAAGTGCTAGGATTACAGGCGTGAGCCACCACGCCCAGTTTTTGTATTTCTATTAGAGATCGGGTCTCCCTGTGTTGCCCCTAGGCTGGTCTCGAACTGCTGGGCTCAAGCAATCTTCCTGCCACGGCCTCCCAAAGTTCTGGGAATACAGGCCTGAGCCATCATGCTCAGCCTCTTAGATCTCTTTTGATCTCTCTTTGCATGTAAAGATGTCGCTGGAAGAATGGTTTGGGCAGTGCAATCAAAGCGTGCACACACCTGTGGGAGGCTGAGGGCGAGCTCCAGGCCTGGCCTGGCTACACGCCAGTCTTTTGGCTTCCCGCTTCAGTTTCCTCATTTGTGGTGGGATGGTGATACTCCTCGCTCTCAGGGGACACACGTGAGGGTCTCATAGCCAGGCTGGCCTCAAGTGGGCACTTCAGGGAGGTCAGCTGGGGGCCTGCCCTCCCTTCCTAGAGGAGCCACCCTGTTGTTTTGGGGAGGATCCAGGGACCAGCCCTTTTTTTTTATTTTTGCTTTTCTTTCTCACGACATAGGCTAAGGTGGGGCCGGGCGCGGTGGCTCACGCCTTTCATCCTAGCACTTTGGGAGGCCGAGGCAGGCGGATCACGAGGTCAGGAGATCAGACCATCCTGGCTAACACGGTAAAAAATAAAAAAATTAGCTGGGCATGGTGGTGGGCACCTGTAGTCCCAGCTACTCAGGAGGCTGAGGCAGGTGAATCTCATGAACCCAGGAGGCAGAGGTTGCAGTGAGCCGAGTTTGCAGCACTGCACTCCAGCCTGGGCAAAAAAGTGAGACTCCATCTAAAAAAAAAAAAAAAAAAAGACATAGGCCAAGGCATGCAATACCAGTGTTGAGAGCAGGTCATCTTGGACAGGGCTGTTACCCTGTGAGCATCTCCCACAGGAAACACAGTGACAATGTTCTGGCTTGTCTGGGGTCTGCCTGAGGTCTAGATCTCTGTCTCGACGGACGCAGGGCTTTGATGGAAATGACAGCACAGCCTGGACATCAGGCCAGATTCCTGTATGTTTTGGTGTAGAGATGTGGTCTTGCTGTGCTGTCCGGACCGGCCTGGAATTCCTGGGCTCAAGCGATTCTCCTGCGTCAGTCTCATGGGTAGCTGGGACTACAGGTGCGTGCCACTGTGCCCAGCTAGTGTGTTTTTAATGTGCTCTGTGGAGGATGGAGGCCTCAGTGGGAGCCTGGATCAAAGTTGGCCCTGGTCTTCTCAGAGTGGAAAAGGAAGGGGTGAGACCATCAGGGCATCCTGAGGGGCTGTGGAAAGGGGGGGTCCAGATGGGGTTGGGGACAATCAGGTCATAAAGAGTCATCAGGCTGGGTGCAGTGGCTCATGCCTGTAATCCCAGCACTTTGGGATGCCAAGGCAGGCGGATCACGAGGTCAGGAGATCGAGACTATCCTGGCTAACACTGTGAAACCCCGTCTCTACTAAAAATACAAAAAATTAGCCAGGCATGGTGGTGCATGCCTTAGTCCCAGCTACTCAGGAGGCTGCGGCAGGAGAATCTCTTGAATCCAGGAGGCAGAGGTTGCAGTGAGCCGAGAATGCACCACTGCACTCCAGCCTGGCGACAGAGCGAGACTCCGTCTCAAAAAAAAAAAAAAAGAGTCATCAAAATATGTAGCAATTGGCTGGGCGCAATGGCTCACACCTATAATCCCAGCACTTTGGGAGGCCTAGGTGGGCAGATCACTTGAGGTCAGGAGTTCGAGACTAGCCTGACCAACATGGTGAACCTATCTCTACTAAAAGTATAAAAATTAGCTGGGCATGGTGGCACGACCCTGTAGGAGGCTGAGGCATGAGAATCACTTGAACCCGGGAGGCAGAGGTTGCAGTGAGCTGAGATCGTGCCACTGTACTCCAGCCTGGGTGACAGAGTAAGAATCCATCTCAAAAAAAAAAAAATAAAAATGTAGCAATTGGCTCTATCATGGAACACAGCAGTTGGGGCTGGGGCCCCGGGCAGTGTCCCAGAGGTTTCTTGCAGTGTCTGTGTGGGAGGTCTGGGGTCCCCGGGAGAGGTTTGGGGTCCCCGGGAGAGGTTTGGGGTGGGGACATGCAGCGACTCAGGGCAGTGACTCTTTACTATATGGCAGGAGTGGGGGTGTCTGCAAGAGCGCCACACTTAGGGCCCCCACCCCTGTGTAGACACAGCCCTGCCCTGGTTGAGGTCGGGCTGCAGACATGGACAGGGTCTTCTGGCCACACACCTTTGGTGGGTTCTCACTGCTGCTCAGAAATCCTGCAACATTTCCTTAACAGTGAACTTCCTGCTCCAACAAACCTGTTCTCCCTCTGCCCCGCCTTCACCTCCATCACCTCTGCCTCATACTATGCCCCTAACCCTGCAGACAACCTTCCTGGGGATAGAGTACCATCAGGCCACCACAAGGACCCCTTCTCCTGCCCAGCTCCTGGGGTCCATCTGCATGCACCACCTCTGCCTTCTCGCTGGATGAATCGGCACTGCCCATGTCCCAGGCCACCCCATCCAGGACATGCTCCTGCCATTGCTCCTTCCAGTTCCTTCTGCATCACTTAATCCCCTCTTGCAGATCTTCCCACCCATCCATCAAGGGGGAACAGCACCCATTTTTTTTTTTTAATGTATTTATTTTTTGAGACAGGGTCTTGCTCTGTCGCCCAGGCTAGAGTGCAATGGTGCAGTCGTGGCTCACTGTAGCCTCCACCTCCTGGGCTCTGTGATCCTCCCACCGTAGCCTCCCAAGTAGCTGGGACTATAGTCATGTACCACCGCACCCAGCTAATCTTTTAATTTTTTTGTAGAGATAGAGTCTTGCTGTGTTACCCAGGCTGATCTTGAACTCCTGGCCTCAAATGGTCCTCCCACTTCGGCCTCCCAAAGTGCCAGAATTATAACTGTGAGCCACCTCGCCCAGCTAAGCCCCCATTTTATCTGGGAACCTCCAGCTCCTGGACCCCCTGCACCTGGCCCCCTTTCTCCCAAAGATCCCCTCCTGTGAGTCCTCCAGGAGCCCACACTGCCCTGGTCCCCACCCGCCCCCCTGCAGCCCATCTGTGGTCCCCTCTGCTGCTTCCTCCTCATCTCCCTGACTTTGTCAGTAAAGGACTCAGGCCTGGAAAGCCCTCTTGGCTCCCCTAGCTCCCCCTTCATGATGGCGTCATTCTGTGTCACACCTCTCAATGCCCACATTGAGGTCTCCAGCCTGGGCTGCAACCCCGAACCCCAGGACCCCACGTCCAACCACTCTTTACTTATCCACCCAGTGTCGAACTCACCTCAGGCCAGCTCAGCCAATCTGAATTCTGCATTTTTCCCTCTTCAGATCTTCCTTCAAGACTTTCTCATCCTCCCAGCCCAGGGTCAGTCTTCTTTCTGTCCTGCTGCTCCTTGAGTAAAACCTCTTGGCTCTGCCTTCTAGACTCTTCCAGAACTACCCGCCTCTTGCACCTCTATGACCCCAAGCCTGGTCCAGCCTCTGCCCTTACAGTCTGACCCATCCCAGCAGCCAGAGGGAGCTGGCTCACAATTATCAATTAGGTCCCATCACATCCTAGCTCGACCCTAAGGGCTCCAAGGCAGGTGGTCCCAGGGGCACTCTTTGAGAAACCCTAGCCTAGGCTTTCTGAGCTCTGGGAGAGCAGGCTCCTTCCCCTCCCCTGATACCTGACAAAAAAAGCTACACACACACACACACAGACACACACACACACACACACACACACACACTCTCTCTCTCTCTTTCTCTCTCTCTCTCTATATATATATATATATATACATATATTTATGTAGGAGTCTTGTATAGACACACACACACACACAGACACACACACACACACATAAATTAGCTGGGCGTGGTGGCAGGCGCCTGTAATCCCAGTTACTTGGGAGGCTGAGGCAAGAGTTTTGAAAAAATGTTCCATGTACCCTGTGCCCCTTCTAGTAAATGCCAAGCCCCTTCATCTCTGGCCTGCCAGCCCCCTGGCCTTCCTAGCTCCACAAACCCAACAGGCTCAGCCCTGCCTCCTGATCTTTGCACTCTCGGTGCCCTGCCAGGAGCACTTCCCTCCCAGACTCTCTGGGAGCTTGTCCCTTGTCTCCCTCAGGTCTCTGCTCAGCTGCCACCTCCTGACTCCCTCCCTCTATCCCCACTGCTCACCCTCTGTCTTCGTGTTTACAACCTCTGCCTCCTGGGCTCAAGTAATTCTCCTGCC